CTGGACATGTCCAAACCACTGTCCCTCCTCTGGACATGTCCAAACCACTGTCCCTCCTCTGGACATGTCCAAACCACTGTCCCTCCTCTGGACATGTCCAAACCATCTCAGTGTGTCCTCTCTAACTTTATCTCCCAGTTGTTCAACCTGTGCTGTACCTCTGATGATCTCATTCCTAATCTTCTCCATCCTTGTCTCTCCTAAGGAGAACCTCAACATCTTCATTTCTACTTCCAGTTCGGTCTCCTGTCTTTTTGTCCATGTCTCTGTCTCCAGACCATACAACATAGCTGGTCTCACCACTGTCTTGTAAACTTTTCATTTGACCTTTGCTGACACCCTTTTGTCACAAATCACTGCTGAAACTTTTCTCCATCACTCCATCCTGCCTGGACTCTCTTCTTCTCCTCTTTACCACACTCCCCATGTTCCTGGACAGTGGACCCCAAGTCCTTGAAGTCCTGCACCTTTTGTGACCTCTGCTCCTTGTAGCCTCACTGTTCCACCTCCTCCCTCTCATCCACACACATGGACTCTGTCTTACTGCGACTGACTTTCATTCCTCTTCTTTCAAGTGCATACCTCCTTCTCTCCAAGTTCTCTTCCACCTGTTCCCTGTTCTCACCACAGATCACAATGTCATCTGCAAACATCATAGTCCACGGTGATTCTTGACTGACCTCATCTGTTAGTCAGTCCATCACCAGAGCAAACAAGAAGGGGCTCAGAGCCGATCCCTGATGCACTCCCACCTCCACCTTGAAGCTATCTGTCACTCCTACAGCACATCTCACCACTGTCCTGCTGTCCTCATACATGTCCTGCACCAGTCTAACATACTTTTCTGCCACTCCAGATTTCCTCATGTAATACCACACCTCCTCCCTCAGCACTCTGTCAGATGATTTTTCTAAATCCACAAAGACACAATGGAGTTCTTTCTGACCCTCTCTGTTCTTCTCCATCATCATCCTCAAAACAAATATGGCATCTGTGGTGCTCTTTCTTGGCATGAAACCATACTGCTGCTCACAGATAGTCACCTCTCGTCTAAGTCTTGCTTCCACAGCTCTCTCCCAGATCTTCATCATGTGGCTCATCAACTTAATTACCCTGTAGTTGTTACAACTCTGTACATCAACCTTGTTCTTAAAAATGGACACCAGCACACTTCTCCATTCCTCAGGCATTTTCTCACCCTCAAATATGTCATTGAATATTTGAGTCAAAAACCTCACTGCCATCTCTCCAAGACATTTCCAAACCTCCACTGGTCATCAGGTCCTGCTGACTTCCCCTTCTTCATTCTTTTCAGAGTTTTCTGGACTTCACCCTCACTAATCTTTCCCACTTCCTGGTCCACAGTTTCTATGACCTCTACTCTTCTTTCTCTTTCATTCTCTTCATTCATTAGCTCCTCAAAGTACTCCTTCTATCTTCCCATCACACTCTCCTCACTGGTTAGAACATTACTATTCCTGTCTTTAACAAGCCTAACCTGCTGCACATGCTTTCCAGCCTGATCCTTCTGTCTTGTCAATCAGTACAAGTCCTTCTCTCCCTCTTTAGTGTCCAGTCTCCCATACAACTCATCATACACCTTCTGCTTTGCCTTAGCTACCTCCCTCTTTGCTCTACGTCCCATCTCCTTATATTCCTGTCTCCTCTCTTCAGTCCTCTCTCTGTCAGATTTCTTCTTGGCTAACCTCTTTCTTTGAACATCTTCCTGCACTTCACTATTCCACCACCAGGTTTCCTGATCATCCATTCTCTGTCCAGATGACACAGCAAGTACCTTCCTACCAGTCTCTCTAATTACTGTTGCTGTAGTAGTCCAGTCCTCTGGAAGCTCTTTCTTACCACCCAGAGCCTTTAACAGCTCCTCTCCGAACTTCTCACAACATTCTTCCTTCCTTCTTCATCTTCCACCATTTGGTCTTCTTCTCTGATTTGACTCTTTTTCTCTTCTTTACAACAACAGTCATTCTACACACAACCATCCGATGCCGTCTGGCCACACTCTCCCCTGCCACAACCTTACAGTCTCCAATCTCCCTCAGGTTTCCTTTTCTACACAGAACGTAGTTGACCTGCATACTCCTTCCTCCACTCTTATAGGTCACTCTATGTTCCTCCCTCTTTTGGAAATAAGTGTTGACTACAGCCATTTCCATTCTCTTGGTAAAACCCACCACCATCTGTCCTTCCTGGTTTCTTTCCTTGACACCAAACCTACCCATCACTTCTTCATCCTCTGTTTCCTTCACCAACATGTCCATTCAGGTCTGCTCCCATCACCACTCTCTCCTCTCTGGGAATACTCTCTATCACTTCATCCAGATCTTTACAAAAATGTATCTTTCTCCTCCACATCACATCCAACCTGTGGAGCATAACCACTGACAACATTTAGCATCAGACCTACTACTTTTACCTTCAGACACATCACCCTATCTGACACTCTTTCACTTCTACTACAAACC